GGCACTCTACCCAGGGGGATAGCTTGAGGCTCCGTCTCAAAAAAAAAAAAAAAGAAATTATTTTCCAGGCAGCGCCTGTGGCTCAAAGGTGTAGGGCGCCGGCCCCATATGTCAGAGGTGACAGGTTCAAAGACAGCCCCAGCCAAAAACTGCAAAAATAAATTTTTGTTTTCCTTTTATTTGAGGAAGGAAGTGTAGTTTTATCTAGAAAGATAAATTTGGGAAAAGGTAGAAGATAGAATGGAGTTCAAAAGGCCATTAGGGCTAATTAGCTAATTGAGCTATTGCCATTAGGGCAGTAGCACCAGAGATCTCCAAAGGCACAAATACTGGAACCATCCTTCAGATTTGGTAATGATTTAGAAGTGGAGAGAGAGATCCTTTCATAATTCATAATTGTGATAATTAGGTTTATACATTCATATGTGAGATGTGTCTCCCTCAAACCTTATTAGACTTATTAGGCACATTACTCATCTGATGTGGAAAAAATAAAAAAATAATCAAAAGAAGTGGCCGTCTGGGAGGCAAGGCGAGTAGATTCCCTGAGTTCACAGGATCAAGACCACCCTGAGCCACAGTGAGACTTTGTCTCTAAAAATAGCCAGGTTTATGGACAGCACTTGTGGCTCAGTGGGTATTACGCTGGCCCCATATACCAAGGTTGGCAGGTTTGGGCCCAACTCTGGCCAAACTGCAACAAAAAAATAACCAGGCGTTGTGGTGGGTGCCTGTAGTCCCAGCTACTGGGAAGGCTGAGGCAAGAGAATCACCTAAGCCCAAGAGTTGGATGTTGCTGTGAGCTATGACGCTGCGGCACTCTACCAATGGTGACAAAGTCAGATTCTGTCTCTAAAAAAAATAAAATAATAAAATAAAAAGAGGGCAGGGCCTGTGGCTCAGTGAGTAGGGCGCCCTCCCCATATACCAAGGGAGGCGGGTTCAAACCCGGCCCTGACCAAACTGCAACAAAAAATAGCCAGGCATTGTGGTGGATGCCTGTAGTCCCACCTACTTGGGAGGCTGAGGCAGGAGAATCGCTTACACCCAGAAGTTGGAGGTTACAGAAGTTGGAGGTTACTGTGAGCTATGACTCCACAGCATTCTACTAAGGACAATAAAGTGAGACTCTGTCTCTAAAAATAAGTAAATAAAAATAGCTGGGTCTTGTATCGGGCGCCTATAGTCCCAGATACTCAGGAGGCTGAGACAAAAGAATCACTTGAGCCCAAGAGTTAGAGGTTGCAGCAAGCTGTGATGCCACGGCACTGTCCTGAGGGCAACAAAGTGAGACTCTGTATAAATAAATAAATAAACAATGATGACTCTGAGCTTGGAAAACCTCAGTGAAGCTGCCATTCCAACTGGCCACGTTAAGTCCTTTGTATTCTCCTTGTTCCGTATTAGCTCAGCGAACACTGTGGGCTTCAGCAAATATGTAAGCAAATCTTTGCATGTGGTATGAGTTGAACAGAAGCATTAGCCAAATAAGAATATGAAAATAGGGCCAGGTGTGGTGGCTCAAGCCCACAGTCCCAGCTATGTAGGAGGCTGAGGCAGGAGGATCACCTGAGACCAGCCTGAGCAAAAGTGAGACCCTTCTCTCTACAAAAAAATGGCCAGGCATGCTAGAACACATCTATAGTCCCAGCTATTTGGGAGGCCGAGACAGGAACACTGCTTAGTCCAGGAGTTGAAGGTTAACAGGCTGGGTGTGGCCTATATTCCTAATACTTTAGAAGGCCAAGTTGGGAGGATTGCTTGAGCCCAAGAGGTCAAGGCTGCATGGAGCTATGATCTTGCCACTGTGCTCCAGCCTGAGCAACAGAGCAAGACTCTATCTCAAAAAAAAAAAAAAAAGGAAAAGAAAAAAAAGAAAATAAATGGGTTTTGTTTTGTGTTGCTATCCTTTGATAAATATTTATTCTATTTTAGATCTACAGAAAGATTTCTGAAGATAACAACTCCCTTCAAACTAATCTGGATATCTTCTACCTTTAATCAAGAATCAAATACTTCTAGAACCACTTAATTAATGCAGAACCATGTATGTGTGTTAATGCTAAAGTAAAAATGTCTTTTCTTGAAAAATTATTGATTTGAAAAGATTTCCTGAGACCACCAAAGGAGAGCACCAAGATACTTAGAGCAACAAAAATAAGTGGATTGCAGATAATGTTGTAAAATTTAATATCATACAAAGATAATTCTAAGACTTCTGATATACTCAGTTCTACCAGTTGCTGTATATAGAGGTAAGTGAGCAGTTAATATGCCGAAGACTATTGGCTCAGCTCACTGGATACAAGCTCCATATATCTGGGTGAATTGTAGCTTTGTCACTTAATTATATCTGGAGC